AAACAGCTAACACACCTAAAAGCAAGATTTTTCAAAAAAAAAAATGTTGCTTCTAAACATTTGATTTACTGAATATGGATATTTCTGTCACTGCACCTCTATACCATCATCAGCAATGTTCTAACACTGCAGAGCAGTAAAAAAGGTGACAAATCAGTCACCTACTGCTGACATCTAAACATATATAGAATCAGAAGTACAAGCAGTTGTCTCAGGCCCAAGGTCCCATGCTTCTGCTCAGGCAAGCCTCCCATAGAAGCCTAGAGTCTTTCAAAATTTGTTCCAAGTCTCTCACTTTTTTATTCACTAGTCTTTTGCTATCTGAAGAACAGGAGAATGACATCACCTTGCACTCCTGTATTTCTAAAGTGACTGCTTCGTGACAACTTTAGCCGCCCACTTTGGGTCGCTTACCGAGTTTAACTGTATTAATGATCTGGAGATCTTCCATACCTGCCTGGATGCCACCCTGTGCCACAAGCTCTGGGTGTCCCTGCTAGAGCCTGGGGGTTGGACTAGTTGGTCTCTACAGGTCCCTTCCAATCTCAACCCTTCTGTCATTGTGAATGATGTTCACCTTGTCCATCAGACGCCTGTTTGTAATATGTCTTGTTCAGTCATGAGATGGGCAAGAACAGACACAAAAATCATTTTGCACTGAAGCTAAAGGACAGAGAAAGTGCACATTTTTTTCAATATAGGACTCCTGCCAACAGTTCTGGAAGCTAGAGCTGTTGTCCTTATGCTTAGCCGTGCAGATATACAACACCACTTCATTTTACTCCAAGGAGCATATGGCCCGTCTAGCACACACTTGAACCACTGCCATTGCAGTCTAGCCGGGCTGTTTTGCAGCAACAGTAGAATTTGACTTTCAGACCAGCCGTTTTACTGGTAGCACCTTCTTAAGCTCACACCACTCATCACCTAGCTAGAGGTAAGCCTGTAGCCAGCCGAGCTTACCTTTTCTCTGCTGCAGTGAAGAAAAGTAGACCTGACAGTACATATCACTTAAGGTTAAAATGTTTCAAGAAAAGGCAGCAGCACACATTGCATAATTAATGTTTCGCCACAAGTGAAACGTTAACCCGATTCTACTGATCATCTGAGAGCAGGGACTAGCTGTACCTGTGTCTCCGTGGAACAGTCGCTGTTCCACAGGCCAGCGAGGAGCTTCGGAAGGGAATGAGATCACACGCTCGTGAGTCAGACAGGGACATGCAAAAACTGGTACAGATATTTACACAAGGAAACGTAATGGAATGACCAGTCTGTATAAAAACAGGCACAACCTTGCAACCTGTAAACTTGACCTAATTTGTTCATTACTATGTTTAAAACAAAACAACAAAAAGTCACTTCAGAGGGCATTCTAAGAGAACAAAATCTGGTCAAATAACTGAAATAAATGCTCTTCCTGCTCATGACTTTAAATCCTTTGTGACTCGGGTTTGCCTGACAAATTTACATTAGAGAAGTGCCTTGTCGTTTCTTCAGTGGCGGGCAAAGAGCTGAATCAGTCAGGATCACTAATCACAGGAGAAAAACTACACTGCAGAAAGAAACAGCTGGCAATAATAAATTTAAATTGATCTTCACAGAGAGAAAAATGGAATCGTGTTGTGATAGGCCAACATCCTAATAAATGCACGCACTGCTTGACTTCAAGCAGGGCATTTGAGGATCTCAAAGGAACAGCATGATTTTGACAAGCGCTTGCTAATGAATGCAAGAGCTGTAAAAGGAAAACTAAAGATAAATATTATAAAAACTCAGCTTCAGAAATCAGCTGTTTTACAGCTCATACTGTGCTAACATCTTCACAGCCACATTAGAAAACCGAGATGACRTTGTCATTCTTATGTTATCACATGTTTTTATTATGCAAAGCAGACAGGAAATAGTATATTACTCCTTCTGCAGGTTTTGTGTCAAGCAGAAAACATACTATAGACTGATTCTAAGGAATAATTCAGAAATTGTGTCTTTGCCCACTTTGACTGCAACTACGCACTGAGCAGCAGAGTAATTCGAAGGGCAGAGAAAATATTTTACCAATGAGTGGAATAAACAGTTCAATGTGTTCAATTAGTCAAAAAGAAAATTCAGGATGATTTTACATCTTCGCATGCGTACCTTCATGGAGAAAAAAATAGTTGGTCTCAAAGGTTTGGCTAACCTAGCAGAAAAATGCACTGAAAGAATAGCAAGAAAGTAAAGCTAAAAGTAATAAAAAAAAGTTTAGAAAAAGCAACATTTTAACTGTAGCACACTGATGAGATAGAGAAAAATCTACAACTGTTCATAATCTCTTGGGTTTTYGGGCAAAATAGTATTTTCATAAAACAAAAGCTATCTCTTGTCTAATAGGAGGTGGCGCACAAATTCTGCAGGATAGGCTACAGAGAACAGGCAAGGTGGGAGATGAACACAGGCTTTTGAGCTTTGCTAGACCAATCACATCTTGAGAGCAGTCATYTTTCAGTATTCTAGCACATCAACAACTCCCTCGCTCTCAATTTTAGCCAAGGTTCTTATGAAAATAAAGCATACGTCATTGCACTATACCTGTGCATCAGCCTGTCTACTGCCTCTTAATTCTGAAACCTAGTAGCCAATTTTAACCAGCTGCCACAGAAAGGTGAGAGCTACTAAATTACTCTATCCATAAATAATTTGTGAAAACAGACAAAAGAGATATCTAGTATTTCCAGCAGAGGAACAAGTCACAGCATGCGTTCAGCTGTTAATAGGTATCTGAGAATCCACATGGGAAGAGGCAAAATACGCACTCAAACATACACTTTAAGGGGGGAAAAAAAAGCTTCATTACTTCTGCAGCTCATGTAACTATTGTTAAGTGAGAGCAATAATGTTATATAGCTAGTGAACTTTTTTTTTTTGGAGATGATTGTGGTCTATGGGTTGTCTGAAAAACATTGATTTAATGACCTTTTCTGGCCTTAAATCAGTAATAAGGACCTGTTACTTTTTCTTCAAATCAGTTATATAGCATAGATTTTGCACTTAGTTCCTCAGTCTTAGGCTGAGGAACTCTAGGAGAAAAACACTCAGGAAAGCACCGCTTTTCTTGCTTTGAATTCCACACTCAGCATGAGGCTACAAGGTCTGTTTTTTTTCCATTTGTTTTTTGAAATTGGAAAAATCCTAAGCATCATAATAATAAATAGTTTGCCTGTTCACAGCTTACACTAAACAGAAAAACTAACTTCAAAATAAAAAGGTCCCCTTAGCAGATTATTTTCAGTGCTGGGTTTGCAGAGAACTGATGCCCTCAAGCTACTAGAGCATTTTATACTGTGGCTGTGATTAGGAGGTGACCACCTTGCTAAACCAACCCTCCTATGAGGGTAGGATTAATTACCTCCACAAAGTACATGTGCATCTCCACTGGCTCTAGAAGAAACCCAAATACCTAATTTTGGGCAGAATGCATGATATCTTTTAGGCTCCAAAAGAAGAATCGAAAGCTGCTACGAGACCAGACTAAGAAGATTCAGCAGCAAACCTCAGTCCCACCCTGCTACAAAGAAGTCAGGTCAGACTGGAGACGTGGTGCATGACATCCTGCCTCCACTCACAAGACCACAATTGGCACCAGCACCCCCACATCTGCCACCTACAGAAAAGCAAGTACAGCAGAAGGAAGGCCACACAAAGCCCACCCTTGGGAGGGCTTCAGGGTTTTGCATGAAGAGATTGCCCCAAATCTTCAAGAGCACATGATGGTTTTGGCATTATTAGGAGACAATTTTTATTAAATGACCTGTTTCTGCCTGTTCCTCAAGAAGTGACTCAGGCAGGCTTAATTGCATCCTGTGTAAGGTGTGCTGCATTGCTCATGTTCTGTAAAGGAAGCAGAAGTTAAAGTTGTGACATGAAAACAGGCCTGCTACAACTTCACTTAAGCATTCCAATCATCAAGACATCATTTCCAAAATTCAGACAGCAATCAAACATCCTGAGTCAGTGGCACCAGCCAGCACTGAAGATGGTTCCTGGGTATGTAAAATGCTTATATGGAGTGTTTGCTTTTGTGCTGTGCTTCAGACACGCATAAATACCTCTATAAACTGTAATGCAGCTATTCACCAATACATGGAACTTTTTAATCCAAACTTTTTAATATCAGCAACACTAACCCTGGACCCACCCACTCCTAAGTTAGGAGCCAAAGAGAGACACCACCTCATAGCAGGCGAGAACAGCAAAAATTTGGGAACAGCCCCCTAAGCCATCCCCTTGTGGGCAGCACTTGCCAGTACACAGAACCACAGTAGCAGGGAAAACAGCGGGGACAGAGAGGACAAGCAGCCACAGCTTCTCAGCCACCCGCCCTCACAAGGAGCAGTGAAATTCCAAGCCCAGATCCCTTTCCTCAGGGACAAGAACTACTTGCAGTCACAGCACCACACACTGTTCTCAGGCAAGGCTTCCTTCAGCCACGCTCTGAGCCCCACCTATAAAGGGCAAAATTCCTCTGCTGCTGCTAACAGCTGTAACCAGCAGCCAGAGCAGGACGTTAACACCAAGCAGAGGCAGCCACCATTAGGGGCATTGATTAGGGGCAGCCCTTTGGCTCTGCCTGGCCAGGAACTCTAAGCAGCTCCCTCCTCCCTGGGCTACGCTGGCCTGTCACCCACGTTGCACTGCCCTGGTACTCACTGGGCATGGGGAGGTAGCAGTGACATACAAGAAAGACCAATGCCCATTTACAGAAACTTGAGCCTGCAGGAGGTCTGTTGGCTCATCCTCACTTGGCATCTCTTGGTTTATGCCTTCTACGTGTCAGGCTCCACAAGCAGTCCTTTACTGTGGAAAATAATCAATATGCTGTAAATGAGGAAGAATGACCCATGGACGTTCTGGAAATACTTTCTGCAGATGYTGCTCTGTAGCAAATTTATATCTGTTGGCTTTTCATAGACCCAGTTACGTGCAGAATGACCTTCCAAAGAAAACAGTAAAGTAAAAATGTACCAAAGTTCAAATTTATTGAAAATCTACCCAAGAAGTTTTCAAGTAATGAAATGCAAGAATATGTATCATACATACCATTAAATCTGGTTAGCTATGACCAAGAAAGGAAATAGTACACTAATAGAATACATTACCTTGCAGAGTACAAATCCAATGCTAATATTCAGGTGAAAATCCTATTTGAGCAATTCTGACTCAGACTTCTTCCCGATTACCTTTCAGTTTTATAAGTCRTCATGAATTTGCTTTTAAGAAGTATCTTCTAGCAGGGAAGAGATGAGGAAAGGAAGTTTTTCTTCTCCTCCCTCTTTAATACTTTCTGTATTAAAAAATAATAATAGTAAAATGTGAAAAGATTGATGTACAAGACAATTACATTTTCCCTCCACACCTTCTGTCCCTCACTTGCTGTGGAGAAAAAAGCTCACTTGCTCACAGAAACAAAATAAAAATCCTCTTCAGGCTGAGGATATTCCTGTCACATCTAAAAATGTAGCCTGACCACAAAGCTAAAAACTCCCTTCTAAAGCCACAGCAATGACACATGGACCAATTCAATAACTATCTAAAGAAAAAATGAAAGACAAAGTGTCTACACAACATAGTATTTAGAATGTGCTCTATGAAATGATGACATTTCCCCCCTTCACCAAGGGGAAATCATGCTTGACTAACCTGATCACCTTCTATGAAGGAGTGACTAGCTGGACAGATGA